TAGATCAAACTTTTAAAACAAATAAAATAATCATATCATTCTATCTTTTAATAAATTGACCTAATTCAACTCTTGTAGTAAAGTGACTCAAATTTTACAAATAATTAGTTTTTCATAAAATCAAGTAATTATCATAAAATTTGACAAACTTCATGTTTTTTTTTTTTTTTTTTCATCAACTTGAAAAAAAATACATTTGCATCAAATATAGTAGAAAACAACCCATGGCTCTGATACCACTGTTGGGTTTTGGTATAATACAACATCCTATGGTGCACATACAACCCTAAATACCTTGGATCTATGTTTTCACTAATTATACATGCAAATGGTTTCCAAGGCATTAAACCTATAACTAGCATGCATTTGACATAAACCATATAATATACTAGTTAGGGAAACATACCTTTTATGTGGCTTGAAGTCTTGATGTATTTGGCCTTAAGAGCTTAGCACCAATAGTATGAAATGCCTCAAATGGAATCACAACACACCTAGGACAAAGGTGGCTCTTGAGAGAGAATTCCATGCACCAAAACACCTTCATATTTCTCTAAGAAAAGAAGTGGTGATTTTGGCTATGAAGTAACCTATTTATATGTAGGATTCCAAGGGTCATGGTTATAACCCATAATCCATACCCATGGGTTTTATGATCCATGGTTCATGTGGCCCAACTCTTTATGTATCCATACATAAACTTGGTCCAACATGGATCATAAGCGCAACACATATAAATATAACTAATTTTCATAATTAGTCCCCATAGATTTAATTAGTCTCTTTTGATCACTAAATTAATTCTTGATCGATACTAATTAAAACATATGATTTCATATTAATATATTATAACTTATAATATATTAATAAACCATAAATAACCTTCTCTCAAAAGTCCATCCTAATAAATTATCCTGATGATATGCAACCCAAATGGACCATGCTACTCTCGGGTCAAGTACATACCAATAATAGTTATGGGCTTAGAGATCTAATCCAACAATATAACCCATAATAATATCCTAATTTCTTATTATATGTTCTTAATAACGTTAATATAATTAAATAAAAACTATATTAAAAATAGTGTAGGCGTAGCTCACTTACAACGAGTTTTATAGAAAACCAGGCTTTGCTTGGAATAGCACTCCCATGAGGAAAATCTCTTCTTCTCGGAGCTGTCGAGCACTTAGGGGCTTCCGCCTTGTGCTAGGGAGGTTCCCTAGGCTTTTCAGGGGGTTTCGGGGCTAGAGAGAGGTTCTAGAGAGAGAGAGAGAGAGAGAGAGAGAGTAAAGAGAAGAAAGAATGAGAAAGGTGTGAAGAAAATGAGGGTGAGAGATGTTCTATTTATAGGGTGAAAATGGCTGAACTTGGTGCCACATGTCACCATCTAGTGGCAAGACTTGGGGAGAAAGCAATGACCAAGATTGTGCCATATCACCCATTTTCGCACAGCACATTTCCGACTTATAAAATCCGTAACTTTCACATACGACCTCCGTTTTGATGTTCTTTATATCCACGCGTAGGTAAAAACAATATCTACAACTTTCATTTTGACTCCGTTGGCTAATTCTCGACCGATCTTAAATTTAACAGTACGAGGCGTTTAGATTGTTAAATGACCGCGAAGAATTCGTAACTCCTTCATACGGACTTTGTTTTCGTCTGTCTTTTTACCGTTCAGATCCTATTAATGAGATCTTCAACTCTCATTTAGGTCGCATAAGCCAAAAACCGCTCGGACTAAAATTCGAGTTTCAGGTTGTACACTGCTAAACCGAATCTTAGAAAAATCATAACTTCTTCATACGAAGTCAGATTTGGGCGTTCTTTTTATGGATTTTCTCTGTTTAACATATTCTACGACTTTTGTTTAGATCACTAAGGCTAAATCTCGCTCTATCGTAAATTCACTTTTTACGCTTCCCGGTGCCGTGCCGGTTTCGTCGCGAAACTTCGACGGGTCATAACTTCTTCGTTATAACTCGGATTTCGGCGTTCTTTATATGTACGGAAACTTTGTGACTTATACTACAACTTGGTTCAAATTATTTATTCTAAATAATATTTTGTCGAAAAGTCATTTTCGACCCTATTATCTTAAATTGACTAGCCCGGATCTACGGGCGTTACAAGACCATTTGAGTTGTCCCTTCAGACGTTTTAGAGTGCATGGTGTCATAAAAATGCAAGGTTGATCCATTCCTTTCATCCATGCATGAGTTATGTAGTTTTTGGTGATGTTAGATGTTAGAATTTTGGGATTAAGCTCTCTTTGGCCATGCAAAGGCATAAACTTGGAGACTTGATGGATTAGAACGTCTTTTTGGGACAAATTTGAGGATTGGGTAAAGTGTCTTAATGATTAAGACCTTAAAAGTTGGGTATGGATTTAGACCGAGTACGCTGAGCGTAAGTCTGGCTACGCCCAACGTAGCCAAATGCGAACTCAGTTTCTGATTATACACACACATTGGGCGTGACTATACATATATATCAACAATTTTATGATTAGAGATTCCACATTGTTTTCTTATTAACTCTAATTTTGGAATAATGGTTTATGAACAAATGGTTATAACTTTACTAAAAACAGGTGTTTTATTATTTTAAAAGTGAAAAATTTAGCCCTAGTTTTTTGGATGGTACAATATCGACTATGGAAGGTGTAATACAATGTCTAAACTTTGGATTGATCTAGAGTCTTGTTAAGCTCCTACATGCCTCTTACAAGAACATAACATAAGAACAATTATTGCATACAGGGGTGGACATGGTAGGTGTCCCGGGGTGGCACAGTCAACCTCTCAAATTTTACTGCTAAGTGCAAAATTTTATGTATATTCGTTACAATCCATCAAAAATTCATTACAAAGTCTGTCATATCACAAATCCGTTAGAAATCCATCATAAAGTCCCAATAAGTATAAATTTAATGTAAATCTATCGATAAAATCCTTTTAGTGACGATCTTGGTGAAAGATGTTGTCATCGAAAATAAGATTTTTTCTAGTACTACAACCTTTAAAAAGTTGCAAAATCTATGATATAACTTTCTGAGTCCGCCACTAGTTGCACAAAAATACTATCAAGAGGTTCAGTTATATTGTACTAATATATCTTAATAATTGCTAGGACATGGACTTCAAAGATTTACCCACGACGCAAAATCTTCCATTGAGACATTTCTTTTTAGGTGGTTATAACAAAATTCACAAAAGCGAAATCCCATTAATGGAAAAGACAAGGTAGGAGGTAAGTCGCACAAGGCTATACGGTATACAAGTAAAGTGGGACACCTTATGCCCATGTGGTGTACGTTAGGATACGTGAACACCGCCCATCTCTTCGTTATCCGACGCAACATGATGGTCCGTTCACTTCTTCACAATGCCTTAAGGGAACATTTTCAAAAAAATAAAATAAAAATGACATACTTCATCCGCATTTAGTTCAAGAAACAACAAATATATGTCAAGAATTATAGAAATACCTAATCCGGAAACGCACGCTCACCTTCAACCATATTTAATGGAACCTATGTGGAACGCTCAACATGCCAACAACGATGATGATGAAGAGTAAATTTTCCGGGTTTTTAAGTAATTTTCAATTTCTTTATTTTTTAATGTTTTGTATATTTTTAATTAGTAAAAGGATTTTATTTAATCTAAGATAATTTGTTTTAATTACATCAGTTTTTATAATAATATGACATGATATATGTGATACCTTGTAACCTAATAATAATGATAATAGGGTTAAAAATATACCTCGTAGCCTAATAATAATGATAATAATAATATGACATGTTATGTGTCATATCATTAAAATGTCATTATAGATCATAAAAAATAACTCATAATTAGGAGCGGAAGCAAGATTTTAAGATAAGGGGGGTTTCGACTGTCAAAAGTTATTAAATAATTAGGAGTGATTGTGAACAAAATTTGGTGAATGGATAGACTATAAATCAGTAATAAAATATAAAAATAAATGTGATAGTGGCGGTATGATTATGTAGGGCTTAATTTTGATTATCTCTTATATGCTACTGCACTCATTGTTTTTTCGCTATAACAATTAGTGCAAATTGATGTGAACCTAAGTAAATGATAGGAATTATAAGTTGTTACAAAGATGAAGGGTGTAAAATATAATATTCAAATGATCGGCAAAAATAGGATTGAATTTAGTGTTTTATAGTCACTTCACGATGAAAGCAAATGAATAGTAAAACGTAAAAGTCTCACTAACACCCTATCCAAATTAATATATATATATATATATAATTAGGAGGGGATGTATATTAGTAATAAACGATGGACTGAATATTTGATTCACAAAAGTGTTTTGATCTCTAATATAATTGAAGCTTATTAAAAGATTGGCGGGGATATGACATCTGATTACTTCCTCCATTATCACCACCATTACTCATACAACATTGTATTTAACATGAGATATGAGGTAATAATTAATTTAAAAAGATTTCTAAATTTAAATGACCTAATTGATCCAAAATCAATGGGGTAATAATGTTAATTTAACAAAATTTCTCTAAGTTTAAATTCCTTAATCGATCTAAAAATTAAAGATCAATCATGATTTTGATATATTTAGCCGAATGTGAAAAATATATTATTTGTAGACGTATGAGTAAAGTTTCCCTAAAATTAAATGGCCATTGTTTCATTGCGAAGAAAAAGGAATTGATTCCAATTTCCAAGTCTCGCCGAAGTCGACGAGGGTCGTGATGGACGACCCCCTCAAACACTCCAAGAATCTCAGGGCCATTTCAGTAATTGCAAGTACCGTGGCAACACTCTTCCGAAAGACAAGGCATCATCGATCTGGACGACCCCGTCGTACACACCAAAGCCACTGGGGGTATGTCCGTAATTTCACACGTAGCCTGACGTGGGGATCCATGGGTTTTAAGATGGTCCGCCAATCTCCTAAATCCTAATCCTCTCGCACAGACGATCTTCTCTCATCCACTTAACCTTCAAACTTTCAGACATAAAGAAAAAACAAAAAAAAGGAAAAAAAGGGTCGTCTGATATCGTGCGCCATCTAAGGTTCCGGCGACTGTATGAGCGGATCTGGTGGAAACAACGGTGTTGCAACGATGGCAGGAGGAGCAGCAGAACAGCAGTACGCGAAGGCGAAGATATCGGTCTGGTGGGACATAGAGAACTGTCAAGTGCCTAAAGGCTGTGAACCTCATTCGATCGCTCAGAATATAAGTTCTGCTTTAGGTAATATGAACTACTGTGGGCCAGTATCGATATCCGCCTACGGCGACACCAATCGGATCCCTGCCTCCGTTCAGCAAGGTCTCAACAGTACCGGCATCGCCTTGAATCACGTGCCCGCCGGTATATACTCATATTACATCACATGCATAATTCTATGAAACGTAGTCTAGTATCATTTTCGACTGGAAATGATAATCGTGTTTGTTTTCCTTGCTTTAAATTATCAGATTGTGTTGAGAACCGAGTTCATAAACCCTAGCACGAAGTATTAAGTACACGTATACTATATTTATACAAATACATACTAATATTTTAGGAAAAAAAATAGTTTTTTAAGTTGACTTTTCTTAGTTAGAGTGTTGCACTGAACGGATCATGGCGAATTGAGCTTATGAGCCCTGATATTGGTTATTTGCTTTAATTCAAGCTTAGATCTGTGGATTCAGTAAGGCCTTTTCGATGTATCTTTTGGCAATTTGTAGATGAAGCATGTGGTCAGTGTTGATGTCTGTACTAATATTTGTCATCTAATCTGAACAAATAAAAAATTGACAGTTCTAATGCTTCTAAATGATTCATGTTAAAAGAAAATGTAGTTATCATTTGCTTTTCCAAAATTATCTTTTTGAATTTTGTATACTTGTATTTAGATGACTATGCTGTGGCAAGTTATTGTTGTTGATTTTTAGGGTTGATCTTATACCTTTGATTTTCATTGTTTTTCCAAAACATGTTGGTAAACAATCATTAAACCTCATCATACCTTATAACAGTAGATAATGGATTGAATTATAATTTATACTCTTCTTTTTAATAACCAGGTGTGAAAGATGCAAGTGACAAGAAAATTTTGGTAGACATGTTATTTTGGGCAGTAGATAACCCTGCCCCATGCAACTATCTGTTAATCTCTGGTGACCGGGATTTCTCAAATGCATTACATCAATTAAGAATGAGGAAATACAACATTCTTTTAGCTCAACCTCAGAAAGCTTCCATTTCCCTCCTTGCAGCTGCTAAAACTGTATGGCTATGGACCAGTCTTTTGGCTGGAGGTCCACCAATAACTACCGGTGAATCACCCACACCTGATACCACCTACAACCACACTCCACCTCCTAACTCACTACATACTCCGCTTCCCGAGTCAACTCAGAATCAGATGCATCAACCTTTAGATAACAACATATATCCAAACCCTCATCCGGGATTACAGAAATTTTCAAGTTTGGAAATAAGAAGATCAAATGATAGTAAACAAAAAGGGAAGCCTTTAAGGAAAAACCAGAGTCAACCGGTTATTTCAAGAACTTTAAGTCCACCAATTGGGGTTTTAGAAAACCAGACCCATGAGCAATTTTACGCTCGTACCACTACAACCGGACCAAACCCAAATCACATTCCTATTGGTCCGGATTATTCATGGAACAACACTACCTACCAACCTCATGCTCCACCGCCAGTAAAGCCGCCAAATAATCTTCCCGGAAGTTTCTTTCCACCTCATTTTATGCCGCCAAGGCCCAATGGATACACCTCTACTTCCTCCACACCGCCATTTGCTCCCGATATTATTAAGCTTAATTTTTCCGACCACCATCCTCTGATGACTAAACCACCACCATCAGGTGGTGGCAGCAACGGGAACGGGCAGCCGAAACAAAACTCCGGTGAGCCGCCGAATTACACAAACAGCCCACAAAAGAGGGGGAAATAAGTCTTTGAACAAAAGTCCAGATGTCCAACCAGGATTGGACAGTAGTGGTAGTGGTGTGTGGGGGACACCCGGATGCCCGAAGCCTTCGGAATACGTGCAAGGGCTTATAGGGGTGATTTTACTTGCCTTGAGTACATTGAAAAGTGAAAAGATTATGCCTACTGAAGAGAATATTATTTTTTGCATTCGTTATGGGAATATTTCAAAGCAACGGAATATCGATGTTAAAAAGGCGTTAGAGAGTGCTGTGAAGCAGCAGCTGGTAGTGAAACAGAATCTAGGGGAAGTTACCTTTTTTTGTTGGTAAAAATGAGAAACTATGGAGGTGTGTGAACCCTATAGGTAATAATTATAAAGATCACTCCAAAGCTACGTGGGATGAACTTGAGAAATATTTATCAACTCCTTCTGGTCGATCTGCAATTGCAGCTTCTCAATGCAGGTGATGTCTAATTGCCTACTGTAATTTATTTATTTTTGTAAATAATAAATAATATGAAGAAATGGAAGTAAAAAGGTATCTGACAAGTTGTTTTTTATGCAAATAAATAGATACGATGCTGCAACTATTATAAAGAATACATGCTTAAAAGATACTGCCTTGGGCGACATACTTCAGATTCTAAACTTGGCTGTCACAGCAAAAAAGTGGATCATACCTCATCAATCCGGATGGCACCCCGTTACTATTACTCTTCCCGAGACAACATCCCCCACCCCCACCCCTGAATTCGAATGGTAGCCCCCACACCCACACCCACTCAAAAGATCAACTAAACAAACAATGCTGTTTTTATTTTTATTAGGTTTAGGAGGTTACACAGTCAATCGCACTTAGTTTTTTCTTTCAAGATCCACAATTGTCAAATTTACTGGCCACTAGTGGCCAACTGTCTGTTGATTTTCTCAAGTTTCATTCACTCTAGAAATATTGTTTGACTAGATCCAGGTCAAACATGTTGGAACAAAATTCCTTTAGGTTGTATGTGTAGAGAAATAGTTTGAAGCCAAGGTCTATCTATCTATACTCAGGGGATCTTGATCTTTACTTTATTTTTCCAACCCATCCATCCATCCATCTATCTGTATACCTCGACAGCTGGACATAGATAAATACCCACCCATCAACCCGCCAATCAAAGTATCAAACCCTAATTTGGAACAAACAACAAAATTGAAGATCTTGGTTGCTGATGTTACATAATACATCGCAGAATGAATTCAAGTGTTAATTTCTATTTTGACAAAAAATTTCATTGCTTAGGTCTTTGGATGGGTAGGTGAGGTTAGATGAAATCTTTTACATGGCACTTTTTGTATTTGTGCTGGGAGATTGATTGACTTTTCTGGTGAAGTTTTTAAAGGGGGAGATGGATGATGAGGAAGTATTTGAGTATGTTGATGATGGAGTAATTGAATATGTTATGTTCTGGAACTGGAACTGGAACTGGGGCAGATGATGATGAAAAAGTATCGAATATGTTATGTTGTGAAACAATATTGAAGTTTTAAGGCAAACAAAATCATGATGATGATGATGATGACAAAGTATTTGAACATGTTATGTTATGTTATGATCTGAAACAGTGAAATTGATGAAGTTGTAAGGGGAAGATGATGAGATCAATTGCACATTACAGTTGCAAACCATTGATATGTTTCAAAGTGGTTGCCAGTAAGGTAAGGTATGTTTGTCAAATTTAAAGAAACGGATATGTATTTAAAGATGTGTTGTGTTAATGCTCATCAAGGAAGTAAAGTAGGCACCTTGAAACTCTTCGCTTGTGTTTGTATATGTATTGTTTTTTACCTTTGCATAAACCTTTTGGTTTCTGGAACTAAGCTTGGTTTTGTATTATATGAACGAACATGAATGAATGTTTATGGAGTTATTTTGGTTTGATGCCTGCGTGTTTCTGATTCTAATAACTTGCATGTGGTATTAGATCCATGACAAATAAGTCGTGTACATGTCATAGTCAAATTTGGTTTGGCTTGATGCATGTTTCTGATTCTAGTGAAAGGAAACTGATGCTTATTAACTGTTCCTAGAATTATTCTGTTTGAAGATTACGTGCAAAGAGGAAAAATTAGTCTTTAAATATGACTTTGTGTTTTATATAAAAATAAATATCATTAGTACTACTATAAAATTCAACACAAAAACCGTGCATCTACAAATAATCAGCGGCTGGTTAGGGACAAAAACCGGATTTCAATGTGTGTTGTTGATACAAGCTAATACATTGCTAATTCTGTTTCTATGTCCCTAGCTAATTTCGTTGCTAAGCGCTTTGCTAAGTCGGTTTTAGACTTGGCCTTTACTGATGGATTTCTAATGGAAATCTCCATGTCGATTCATATGTTTCTAGTAAGTAAAAAAAATCCAAGCCCCTTTCATGACCCAGTCTAAGGTTGAATAGATTCTAGAAGATAGAGATCAGGCTAAGAGTAATGAGAGATTCAACACACAGAAGGTAAATAAGATCTTGTTTTGATCAGAGAACAGAAAGTTCATTGTAATTAGATTCAATACACGAAGCTAAATAATATATTGTTTTGATTAGGGAACAAAAAGTTCGTTATAGATTACAAAACAATCTTAGCAAAAAACATTCTCTCTATTTAGCTAACTTTCCCGTTATATAGGTTAACAACCCAGAGAGTCAGTTAGGAAATGACCAATCATGTCAAGACATTTAGGCCGGATGGAGTGGAGAGCGGGGAAACAACGGGAAATGATCCCACACGAAGAAACACCGCACCGGGGATGCGGGAAGAATGTGGGGGGAAAGAGTCCCTCTCTCTCTCTCTCTCTCTCTCTCTCTCTTCACATGATTGGCTGTTGCTTTTTCTTTTTCTTTTTCTATTCCAAACGGTTATATATATATATATATATATATATATATATATATATATATATATATATATATATATATATATATATATATATATAGGGGAGAGTTCATGCGAAAATGCAAATAATTTGCGAAAACGCGAAAACAAGAAAACCATATGATATTATGTCACCTCAACATTATATTTTGGAAAATAATTCATCCAAACTTTGAAATACATGATGATAATCGATGATAGATGATAGACTATTTCATATTAGCAAAGTATGATTTTTAACATTTTTATTATGAAAACATGAATTTAAAAATGATTAAGGACGTGAAAAAAAATATAATTATAAAAACCGTCTTTAAATCTATATTATCATAACACCATCTAATGTAGACTTACTATCTTTAATTTATTGCTAATAAA